ACTCAGCTATTGTGCCGTAAAATTAAGAGTTAAGGCTGCTCTTTCACACTATTTTAAAGCTTTTTTTCTAGATTTTGAAGCAGTACGAGCTATACTTTGACTGAGACCTCAATATTTAAGTAATACCATGTTTGGTGCTAAATACGAGCGGAGCAAAAAACTCAGCTATTGTGCCGTAAAATTAAGAGTTAAGGCTGCTCATTCACACTATTTTAAAGCTTTTTTTCTAGATTTTGTAGCAGTACGAGCTATACTTTGACTGAGACCTCAATATTTAAGTAATACCATGTTTGGTGCTAAATACGAGCGGAGCAAAAAACTCAGCTATTGTGCCGTAAAATTAAGAGTAAAGGCTGCTCTTTCACACTATTTTAAAGCTTTTTTTCTAGATTTTGAAGCAGTACGAGCTATACTTTGACTGAGACCTCAATATTTCAATAATACCATGTTTGGTGCTTAATACGAGCGGAGCAAAAAACTCAGCTATTGTGCCGTAAAATTAAGAGTTAAGGCTGATCTTTCACACTATTTTAAAGCTTTTTTTCTAGATTTTGAAGCAATTTCGAGCTATACTTTGACTGAGACCTCAATATTTCAATAATACCATGTTTGGTGCTAAATCCGAGCGGAGCAAAAAACTCAGCTATTGTGCCGTAAAATTAAGAGTTAAGGCTGCTCTTTCACACTATTTTAAAGCTTTTTTTCTAGATTTTGAAGCAGTACGAGCTATACTTTGACTGAGACCTCAATATTTAAGTAATACCATGTTTGGTGCTAAATACGAGCGGAGCAAAAAACTCAGCTATTGTGCCGTAAAATTAAGAGTTAAGGCTGCTCTTTCACACTATTTTAAAGCTTTTTTTCTAGATTTTGTAGCAGTTCGAGCTATACTTTGACTTAGACCTCAATATTTAAATAATACCATGTTTGGTGCTAAATACGAGCGGAGCAAAAAAACTCAGCTATTGTGCCGTAAAATTAAGAGTTAAGGCTGCTCTTTCACACTATTTTAAAGCTTTTTTTCTAGATTTTGAAGCAGTACGAGCTATACTTTGACTGAGACCTCAATATTTCAATAATACCATGTTTGGTACTAAATACGAGCGGAGAAAAAAACTCAGCTATTGTGCCGTAAAATTAAGAGTTAAGGCTGCTCTTTCACACTATTTTAAAGCTTTTTTTCTAGATTTTGAAGCAGTACGAGCTATACTTTGACTGAGACCTCAATATTTAAGTAATACCATGTTTGGTGCTAAATACGAGCGGAGCAAAAAACTCAGCTATTGTGCCGTAAAATTAAGAGTTAAGGCTGTTCTTTCACACTATTTTAAAGCTTTTTTTCTAGATTTTGAAGCAGTACGAGCTATACTTTGACTGAGACCTCAATATTTCAATAATACCATGTTTGGTGCTAAATACGAGCGGAGCAAAAAAACTCAGCTATTGTGCCGTAAAATTAAGAGTTAAGGCTGCTCTTTCACACTATTTTAAAGCTTTTTTTCTAGATTTTGAAGCAGTACGAGCTATACTTTGACTGAGACCTCAATATTTAAGTAATACCATGTTTGGTGCTAAATACGAGCGGAGCAAAAAACTCAGCTATTGTGCCGTAAAATTAAGAGTTAAGGCTGCTCATTCACACTATTTTAAAGCTTTTTTTCTAGATTTTGTAGCAGTACGAGCTATACTTTGACTGAGACCTCAATATTTAAGTAATACCATGTTTGGTGCTAAATACGAGCGGAGCAAAAAACTCAGCTATTGTGCCGTAAAATTAAGAGTAAAGGCTGCTCTTTCACACTATTTTAAAGCTTTTTTTCTAGATTTTGAAGCAGTACGAGCTATACTTTGACTGAGACCTCAATATTTCAATAATACCATGTTTGGTGCTTAATACGAGCGGAGCAAAAAACTCAGCTATTGTGCCGTAAAATTAAGAGTTAAGGCTGATCTTTCACACTATTTTAAAGCTTTTTTTCTAGATTTTGAAGCAATTTCGAGCTATACTTTGACTGAGACCTCAATATTTCAATAATACCATGTTTGGTGCTAAATCCGAGCGGAGCAAAAAACTCAGCTATTGTGCCGTAAAATTAAGAGTTAAGGCTGCTCTTTCACACTATTTTAAAGCTTTTTTTCTAGATTTTGAAGCAGTACGAGCTATACTTTGACTGAGACCTCAATATTTAAGTAATACCATGTTTGGTGCTAAATACGAGCGGAGCAAAAAACTCAGCTATTGTGCCGTAAAATTAAGAGTTAAGGCTGCTCTTTCACACTATTTTAAAGCTTTTTTTCTAGATTTTGAAGCAGTACGAGCTATACTTTGACTGAGACCTCAATATTTAAGTAATACCATGTTTGGTGCTAAATACGAGCGGAGCAAAAAAACTCAGCTATTGTGCCGTAAAATTAAGAGTTAAGGCTGATTTTTCACACTATTTTAAAGCTTTTTTTCTAGATTTTGTAGCAGTAGGAGCTATACTTTGACTGAGACCTCAATATTTCAATAATACCATGTTTGGTGCTAAATACGAGCGGAGCAAAAAACTCAGCTATTGTGCCGTAAAATTAAGAGTTAAGGCTGCTCTTTCACATTATTTTAAAGCTTTTTTTCTAGATTTTGTAGCAGTACGAGCTATACTTTGACTGAGACCTCAATATTTCAATAATACCATGTTTGGTACTAAATACGAGCGGAGAAAAAAACTCAGCTATTGTGCCGTAAAATTAAGAGTTAAGGCTGCTCTTTCACACTATTTTAAAGCTTTTTTTCTAGATTTTGTAGCAGTACGAGCTATACTTTGACTGAGACCTCAATATTTCAATAATACCATGATTGGTGCTAAATACGAGCGGAGCAAAAAAACTCAGCTATTGTGCCGTAAAATTAAGAGTTAAGGCTGATCTTTCACACTATTTTAAAGCTTTTTTTCTAGATTTTGAAGCAGTACGAGCTATACTTTGACTGAGACCTCAATATTTAAGTAATACCATGTTTGGTGCTAAATACGAGCGGAGCAAAAAACTCAGCTATTGTGCCGTAAAATTAAGAGTTAAGGCTGCTCTTTCACACTATTTTAAAGCTTTTTTTCTAGATTTTGTAGCAGTACGAGCTATACTTTGTCTGAGACCTCAATATTTAAGTAATACCATGTTTGGTGCTAAATACGAGCGGAGCAAAAAACTCAGCTATTGTGCCGTAAAATTAAGAGTTAAGGCTGCTCTTTCACACTATTTTAAAGCTTTTTTTCTAGATTTTGAAGCAGTACGAGCTATACTTTGACTGAGACCTCAATATTTCAATAATACCATGATGAGGTGCTCAAATGAGGTGCTCAAATGAGGTGCTCATATGTGCACCTGAAATGAGGTGCTCAAAAGAGGTGCTCATATGTGCACCTGATATGAGGTGCTCAAAAGAGGTGCTCATATGTGCACCTCATATGAGGTGCTCAAATGAGGTGCTCATATGTGCACCTGAAATGAGGTGCTCAAAAGAGGTGCTCATATGTGCACCTGATATGAGGTGCTCAAAAGAGGTGCTCATATGCGCACCTCATATGAGGTGCTCAAAAGAGGTGCTCATATGTGCACCTCATATGAGGTGCTCAAATGAGGTGCTCATATGTGCACCTGATATGATACCATGCTAAATACGAGCGGAGCAAAAAACTCAGCCAGCCTCCAGGGGTGAGGGGTAGAAAAATTTGTCAAAAAATATAGCTAGAAAAAGATCTAAATGATTTGTCCGAGATTTTTAGATGGTTGCCAAAAACCATTTTTTTTTTCACTTGGAGCTCAAATTTAAAAAAAAAAAATAGACTTTTTAGCTTTTTTAGTCGGTTTTAGTCGATTTTGACCCTAGCTTAATCGAAATTGCATGATTCGTTCTCATTTCATATCCCTAACATCCTGCGAAGATCAGAAAAAAATAGTTGATCGACTAAAACGCTCAGCCCTAACTATAAGCCTGATTCCATATGTTCATTATTCAATAAAATTACAAGAGTCAATCTAAAATTCGAGACCACTCCTGACTTTAGGTTTTCAATGTTTTAAAGTAGTCTTGATCTGATAAATCTTGGAAATTGTTATTCAGCACTTTGATCCATTCAGCATAGCAGCACCGGCCACTCGGGCCCAGAATGAACAAATCGCGCAGAGCCGTTTTTGTCCCCGAGAGCGAGCTTTCAAGGCGAACAAGAAAGCCATCCGAAATGTACACACACGAAATGAGAATGAAAAAAATCCTTCTCGGGCCAGACTGGTGCTGCTGCTGTTGGAACACAACATATTAAATGTACCCGTTTGCTGCCGTGCTCCCTTCGGCCAGGATTCTGTTTCATTTTCCAAGTATTGGGTTGCGACTCGCGAGAAAAGAGTTTTGTGAAAAAAATAATCTTCTCGCTCCGTTTTGTTTCGGGGATTTGAACGCTCGGCGGAACAGAAGAGAAAGGAATTAAGCTCGGACGTATCATTTATAAAAATATATGCAGTGGTCGCCCCTCTTGAGAAGTGCATGAGCCTTCTCGAAATGCAGGTTTGTGCGCACATTATCTCGCACAAAAGTCGACGAGCACGTGCGCATCAAATCAATGAAAGGGTCATTTGATTTGATTCATTGCGACCTAAAAACTTCATAAAAAGAAGTGCGCATCAGAAATTGTTTTGTGCCTATTTCAAAAGGCGCGTAGTTTCTTTCAGAAAAAAAATACAATACCCAGAAGTTAAAAAAGTGATAAAAATCGTGGATATTCAGCAGCTAGTTTTATGAAATGATCGAAAAAATTCATCTTTATCCCAACACACACATAAATTTTAACTCCTCTATATTCCGTTTTGCCAAAAATTTATTTTCCAACACAGATTTTTAGCACTGGTTGTTTACATAAACAATCGTGATCTGAATTATTATAAATTGCGATTAATTCTAAATTTAAACTAATAATAAAAAATATGGGATTTCTGATAATGTGAGACGTAATCCTTGAATATTGTTAAGCGCCCCCGCAGAAGATTAGCCAATCAGATTATAGTAAAACGGCCGGTTTTTCTTTCTCGCACTCGTCAGATTTCCTTCTGGAGCCGCTTTTTTTCAATTTCACAATGCTCGAGTATATTCTCAGCTTGTTTATTTATCCGAGTCCTTATTTGCGCTCTCGTCCTTGTCAGTCGTGGCGGCACATAGCGTTATTTTCCCCGAGAGCCGTGTGTGCATGTGGATGCGAGTGCTCCATATAATTAGAACGTCAAGTGACGAGAGGAAGAAAAGCACCCACGTGCGCCTTGTCAGTCGAATTAGATTTGAAAAGTATTCGTGCCCTCTGGAAACAAACGCTCCAGATTTGAGGAAAGAAAACTTGTTTTAATTAATTTACATACGCACAATGTATGTGGATCGGGTGGGTCGCCGCTGGGGAAAGGTCAGTTCTGGCGGCAGGTTGGCCATCCTGGCTGTCGGCTGCCTTTTAAGGAAGCTTCGCCTCGTAACATTTTATTGCTGCAACAGTTGCAAGGATAATATTATTCGCATGTCGCGCCAGCAGCACTAATTGTCTGTCGGTGAAGTCAGCGATGATCAAAGAAACGGCGATCTTGATCAAATCGGGCACCGGGGCACCCACTCGATTGTAAAAGTTGGAAGAAATAAGGAAATCGAGAGAAATACAAGATGGCAATAAATTTTTTTTTTACATTATTATGAGATTTAATGAAGATTTTTTTTACTTCTTATGAAATAGAAATTTTTAATTCCTATACACACAAATTAGAACATTATTAATTTTTTTATTGATATATGAAAAATGATTTTTATCTGGTTTCAATTGGAAAAAAATGTATTTATTTTTTAATTTTATTTATTAATCAAATTAATACTTTCCGTTTACAGTTTTAAATTATATTTCACTCTAGTGAAATCGAAACAATTATAGTAACTTTGTTGTAGTTTTTTTTTCCAGATATCAAGAATGCATTCTGTATTTCAAGTACGTTGATGACAATGATGACCCCTTTGACGACCTTTGAAATTTTCAAGCAGTCCGTGTTTGGCTGATGAAAGTTGGTAATTTTCTCAAGATCCATTTTACAATACCCGAGAGTGAATGAGGAATTAAGTATATAAGTAGTGAACCTGTTTGATGCTGCGTCAACAACTAGACGTGACTCAAATCAATAAAAGCTGCGGCAGCAAACGTACGACTTAATTACAAGCGAGTGAATCGGAAAGAAATACGAAAACATCAACACAAGAGCGCGTCGACGACGAGCAGATAAAAATCTCAAAGGCTAATTGACCGACTCGAGAAAAAGAGACTGCGCCGCGCGTAATTGAGTTTTCAATTGAGCTTTTTGCCGGACCCAACGCACTCTCGTAGTTAGAGGCGAGACAACCTTGACAGCGATTTGCGGTTTCGTTTTTGGACACCGAGAAGGGCGACTTTTTGCCACCGTATAGTTGTTGCGCCGACAAATTTGCGAGACAAATATTGTAATTTAATATTGAGTTGTATAGTCGGCTGAATGCTCTTTAAGTAGCAAATAATTCCTTTTCGCCAGTCAAAATCTAGTTATAAAAATTGATATTTTGAATTTAACACCTATATTCAAAAAGTTCTGAAACAGTTAAATGAGTTAAATAATCTTCAAGACTATAATTGAATAATTAAATATCATATAATATATAAAATAGAAAATTATCGTTTGGAATTTTTATATTTTAAAAGTTTTATTTCATATTATTTTAATAGCTTGTGGTGTGACTGAAAACTTATAATTTACATCAATTTGAATATTAATGATGGATAAAAATGTTATTTAAAAAAATTAAACATTAAAAATATTTCCTTGAATTTGATATCAAATCTGTGAAACTGTAAAATTTTTATAAAATATAAACTTCCGCTTCATCATCAGCCTTCCAGGAAAACGGAACGAGGAAAGGATTATTTGCGTTCTCCGTAGGCGAATTTCGAGAAAGTAACGTAGCGGGGGTGGGTTTGGGCGGAGGGTGGGGGTAGTTCTTAATGCGGCTGTAAAAATGCAAAAGGTGGTGCAGGTCAGTGCGCTGGCTGGCTGCTGCGGGGGTGGGAGGGTTAATTGCGGCTCTCGCTCGCTCTCTTGTGACCCACTGAAGACGAACAGGGTGCGCTGGTGCGAGGGGGTGCGTGACGTCACTCGCGCGCGCATATTGATCGGCGCCACCCCACCCGCGCTCTGCAGAAAACGAGGGAGGACGCGCGCAGACGGTCGGAAGGACGGATGCGGACGGGGACAATCGATGATGCACCCCCGCCCCCAGACCGGCCGCAGACGAGCCAACCTCTGTCCATCTGCGTGTCAACAGGCGCCCCCGCCGCCGTGCCACCCCCGATAATCAATCGTGCTGGCGGAAATGAATTTGTGTGTGGGTTGACTCAAATGATGAGCTGGCTTGACTCTCAGAACTTGAAAGCGGTATAGATTTTGGCAGAATTATTTAGCAATCGATTAAAATCCAGACTAGCACATTAATTATATATTGCGGTATTTAAATTCGCACGATAATTCAAGATAAATTCATTATTTTATTTCAAAATTTCTTAATTTTTGGAAATATTAAAAAATAAAATTATTTTCTTTTTAAGCTTTACAATATTAAAGTTCTAATTAACTTCTAATGAAAACAATAAAAAAAAATCTCTGAAAATATTCAGTATGCACTTCAAAATTGCAAAATGTGTCTTTTGGTTATCATCCCAAATTTTAAACTAAGCAAAAAATTTAAGATTTCTCTTTAAAAAACCATTGCTTGAAAGCATTTAAAACAATTATTCTATACAAATAAAAAAAAATGAATTATTCAAATAGAAAAAGTACAAATTATTTCATGCTTACAACAAAAATGATATATTAAATAATTGGGAAATAAATTATAAATGGTTATTTTTCAAATTGATTTTGTACGTATTTTTACATATCATCAGATGTCATAATTTTTTTGTTTTAAGTTTAGAACTTACAATTAGACTAAGCTTTTTAAATGTGATTCTGTTTTTATTATTATTCTTAATTCTCTGAAAACTGTTGTTCTGCTGTTTAAAATAAATACTTAACATTTTTTGAATTTCTTTTCATAAATAATGGGGCTTTTGAGTGTGTAGATTGTTTTCAACTTGGGGTCGCGGTAATTCCCGCACATACAATCGTCTATTTGAAGCTCCGCTTGTAAATCTGAAAGCCTCTCCGTTTTCAGTGTGAAAGAGAGCTTTGCAGTCAATGGAGCTTACACAGGGAAAACGCACTTTTAATTGGGGAGGCCCTTCATGATGGAATCCGGGCGATTTACAAACAGAGCGTTTGTCACTCGCATGCAAGACGAGAACCGGGGCCGGTGTGTTTTATTTTTAAAGAAAGAGAGACACGCCACAAACCAACACATGTGTGCGCACCCACAACATTTCCTTTTACTCTCCCGCAGCTGGAAATCAATCTTCTAAAAATGGAAATAAATTTGTTAAAAAATATGACTACTGATTTTGAATAAGACTAATTACTTTATATTTTATTGTTTAATCTTCATGAAACTTCTGTGATTTTAATTTGGTTCATTTTGTTGATCCCTGCGAGCTTACATTTGGCGCCACTTCCAGCGGTTTCGAGAGCATCAATCAGCAGCAACTCGCGCCTGTGGAGGGTGCGAAGGGGGTTGCCAGCACGGGTGGGTGGCCGGGGGATGATTGTCACTCGCTCGCTATCCCAGCTGTCAGACGGTGAGCTGCATAAAAATGTGTTATTTTTTATTTTTAGCAGGGACACAACCTCCATAGATTTTCCTCCCTCAGCAGATTTAGAGACCTTGTCAATTGGTGCGGTCGGGATTTTCCTTCCGGTCTGTATGCCTTGTCGCGCCGCAAGATAACGATTATTATCCTCAAGACCTCAAATTTTAAAACCAAGTTTAAAGTCTCTTTAAACTCAAATGCTTTCATTCCTTCCATAAATGTTCTAAAACTACGTTTTTTTTTTATCAGATTGAATATTAAAAATTTTTCAAAGTTAAACAAATCATAGCTTTTACTGGATTTTACATGAAGCTTTTAAACTTTTCAAATATAATTTTTTTTTTTAAATTTAATGACAAAGCTATTTTAAATGTATTGTATAAATCTGTATTCAACCATGAAGCAGCGTTGATGTTTCATTTAAAAAAAAAAACTAATTTACTAATGCCAAAAAGTCAATTTTTATAGTAATTCTCTTTTAACTTTCTATTTATATTACTTTTCTAAATTAAAGAAACCTTTAATTAGAATTTACAAAAAAAAAGATGTTGGTAACCACACTTTTGATTTAAAGTCATCTAGTTGATAAGAGAATGAGCTTTTAGTGACTGAAAAAAGTTGCATTATAATTTTCAATAAAAACCAAAAGCCATAATTTAATGTTAAACTTTTTTGCTCTTTTTTACATTTTAGATGAAAATCGTAGGTTGGTTATGAAAAACAGTAGGTGGCTGATGGACGACACTGTGGAGATTAAAAACATCCCATAGCTATTATTTGTCGAGGATGAGGCCGAGGCCGCGTGTGCCGTCGCGTGGGCTCAGAGGCCGATTATCAGCAGCTTCCTGGTAGTTTTATTTTATGGAACAGCCCAAGAGCATCTTCAGCTGGGCCCAATTTGATGCATGTTTCAATGAGGAAGTTGAGAAACAATCAAGGGTCAATAACTTGCCGGCTATTTTCCCTTGACGCGGGTGCATATAATTTTTGTACAGCTGCTTCTGTTTCTGCTGCAGTTTCTCGACAGTGACCCTGAACGCCCAAAAGCATGCCTGTGCTCGCACGTAGGTAGGCAGGCAGGGGTAGTTGTTGCAGGGGGGAGGGTTGGGGTTGACGGCCGAGTGCAAAGAAAGAGTTCATCGTCCCTTGTTCTTCATTCTTTCTTCGCCACCCCTCTCCCTGAAGCAGTTTCCCCGCGCGCCTCTTCCTGCCTGCTGCAGAATTAACCTTTTGAACAAGGGGAGGCAGGCCAGTCGCAGCAACAGGGATGATCGAGTCGGTCGTGATTTATAAACAGTGGCAACAAGTTGCATTTTACCAGCATGCCCAGGGACAAGGTAACCACCATTAGGAAACTCATCACCGTAGCCGAGGTAGGAATTTGGATTTTTTTTCAAAATAGTTTGAACTTTTTTTAATTAGTACTGATGTTCCTTGCCGACTCATGTTAAAATTAATTTTGCAGCAAGATACTTCTATCGATATTCCTACCCTGACTTTTTTTTTCAAAATTCTAAAATTTTACTTTATTTATTTTTAAAATTTGGAATTGCGAACAATAAATAGAAACCCCATGTAGCACGTGGCCTTTTTATTCCAGAATTTAAAACTTAAACTTTGATAAAATACTACAGGCATGGAAGGGTGTTCAAAGTTTGGCTAACTATGGAATTTTTTATAGTACTTTAATCAAAATCTACCTTTTTACACATACATATAGATATTCAAACAGTCATAATGATTGTAAAATTTTTATTCAAATTAAAACTGTAAAAACAGAAATTTTTCCGGCTTTTATTTGTAAATTATTTAAAACAATAATTAACAGCAACGTTCTATGAGTGAATTTTTAAACTTCGTGAAAATCAGTTCCAAAAAAATTTATTGGCATATCACAGAGGCATTCACTGATCGTAAAGTGATACGTCGATCGGTATTTCTAAGTAAATACATTTTGATTTCATTAAGAAAACAAAGGAAAATTACAGATATTTCTTTTAAACTATTTTGCAGCCCACAATTATTTTATTATTTTTAATAATTAATATAAAATAATTAATGCTTTACTTTGCAAGGATATTTACTAAAAAACAAAACAATAATTTTATAATTTCTGAAACATTGTTAATAATTTTGTTATAATTTTAATAATATTGTTCTAATATGACTTTGCTTTTGTGGCCTTGCTAATCATTTCATTGTTTCAAGATTTTTTTTTTAAATTAACAGAAAATTAAAAAATAAAATATTTAAAATATTTTATGCATTTAACAAATTCTTTCTTATAATAAGAATAAAAATGGTCAGTAGTTGGCCTAAATTTTGCCAAATACCGCAGTGGGCATAAATTTTTGCTGTTGGGTGTTTCATTTTGATGTGCAAGAAGTGATAGCAGCTTTTTGTCCACTTGCGTTCTCCTCCGGCCATAAATTTCTTTCTGGAAAAATTTGCCGCCGGCCGAATTTCGTTTCC